GTGTTAATTATTAAACTTTGAAATTAATTTTATTTGTCGTGGGAAGCGAGTTTCTGCAAAGTTGTGATCTGACATATCTTATCAGATCGCGCCTTGAGAAACAAAATTAATAATAATAGTAATAATAATATTTAATGTGCCATGTTTCCTGCATGGTGCATGCTCATATCGGTCCAATCCACAACATACATGTCAAACACCTCTTTAAACCATTTGAATTATTATTAGGGTAAAATTCATTTTGCACCCCTGTACTATGAGAAATGTATCGTTTACCCCCCCTGATGTATGAAAAACATCAAACACCCCCCTGCCGTTAACTTTTTTCTTGAATCCGTTAGTCAAACCCTTTGACTGGCCGTTATAAAGACCCGTTGGCTTTTTTTTTTGACGAAATTACCCCCAATAATCTCTATATATAGATTGTCTAGTTTTTGCCATTTTTTTACTAAATTTTTGCACTTATTCAGCCATTTTTTCACTCTTTTCAACATGTTTTTTTCACTACCCATTTTTTCTTCTGTTCTTGAATTCTTCATCTGTCTTAGATCCACATATTTGTAAACCAACTAACTATGTTTCATATTGTTGTAACCAAACAACTTAATTTTAGATTCTTCAAAAACAATTGAACATGTTTCTTATTCTTTCAAGCAAAAACAAACGTAACCAAAAAATTGGCCAATCAACAAAACATATATAGAGATTATTGGGGGTAATTTCGTCAAAAAAAAAAAAAGCCAACGGGTCTTTATAACGGCCAGTCAAAGGGTTTGACTAACGGATTCAAGAAAAAAGTTAACGGCAGGGGGGTATTTGATGTTTTTCATACATTAGGGGGGTAAACGATACTTTTCTCATAGTACAGGGGTGCAAAATAAATTTTACCCTTATTATTATATACTCCCTCCATGCCAATTTATACGTTTAAGGTATTTGCACAATAACTAAAAAATTCAATAAATATGGCTAAATTTGAGGAGAAAAATCATCAATAGACTAATATACTCTTTTACCAAATTTTGGTATTATTTATTTCTCTCTCATACCCATTGATAGGAATTGATTTCTTGGTGTTTGTGTTTGACTCTCCCACTAATTTAATTTCCCCCCTTATTCTCCCCATTTTTCTCTCTCTTGAATCTCAATTACTCATAAATTATTTAGTCTCTCGAAATTACTCCCCATTTTTTATGTTGTCAATATCCATTTTTATTTGTCATTCTTCACCTGAGAGAAGTTAAATATAATTAGTATTGATCATGCATTTATGTCTTTTTAATAAACCTTGTGAGTGGAGTGTATTGGAAAATAAAATAAATAAAAATTGAAGCTAGTTATATTTACAATTAATAATAGAGAGAGAGTGGGGGGGAAATTAAGAGATAAAAAGAGGTAATTGGAACGTAGCTTTCATTTTCATAACCGTGTGGGTAGTTTGCATTATGGGTATTGGTGGAAATTATTTAATTAATGCATCATTGGAATTATAAAACGACAGATAATATGAAACAAAAAAATTTCTCTAAAGTTACAGATAATTTGAAACGGAAGGAGTATATATATATATAACTTTAAAAATTTTATTTTCTTACAATTTTATTTTGTACAACAATTATATGTTATTATATTAAATGTGTACTTTTAAATTAATAGAGAGGTAGATGTAGATTGACAAGGGTTTAAAACTGATTCTGTAGGATAGTTTAGGTGCTTCAAATCGGCAACATGTATGTT